TGATGACTCCCTCATCATTGATGTTTCTATCTCTCTCCCTCTCCTTTCCTCTTTCTGAAATCAATAAAGATATATTTAAAAAAAAAAAAAAAGTGAATATGTGTATTTGTTGCAATGGTGTGAAATAGAATAGGTACATAGGTATACTAAATAAGCATTAATCAGGAATTAAACTATTTTCCTATGAAGCCATTTAGCCATTAAAAAGAGAGAAAGATATTTGTAATGTGTTAGGTATAGAAGATTCTGTTTTTCTACGTGTGTGTGTGTGTGTGTGTGTGTATGTGTGTAAAGGAAAAAAAAGTACCTAATATGTGCTGGGACACTAACTTTTTTACATGTGTTGGCTCATTATAACCTGTGAGGTGGATATATGTATACAAAGATATATATAATTAGAGTTGAGAATTACAGTGGTCTTCATGTGTTACAATGGAAAAGATGTTTCCATTTTGAAAAAAGAATCAAATGGACATTTTTAAAGAAGTTCATGTAGAACGGGTGGGGAACCTTTTTTCTGCCAGGGGCCATTTGGATATTTATAACATCAATTGCGGGCCATAAAAAATTATCAACTTAAAAATTAACTATGAAAAAACTAGATTTATTGAATTTCGAGTCCTGCCTGCGGTTGTCTTGGGAAGGCCAAACCAAATGATTTTGCCTGTGGGCCGGATCCACAGGATTTTCCCCACTCCTGATGTAGAAGATACCTGGTAGAATTAAATAGAGTGACAAAAACAACCTTTTAATATATAATGCTAGGATTTTTACGTGTGCCTTTTGTTAAATACAGGACTTATTTCCTTAAACGTCTCTGAATGTATCCTCAAAATTAATAGGGAAATACAGCTTAATATAGAAACTTTTGTACACTACCCCACATTTCAATAACATATCTAATGACTCAATATATTGAGTTTGATATAATTTTATCTGACAGGTTTATGTCTGTTGAGTGGCACAATAATCTGGTGAGAAAAGCCAGTCAGTGACAGAATGACCAAAAATGGGAGCCCTGCCAATTAGCAGCCTCTGAAGCTCTCAGAAGGGCAGATTCACAGGTCTGTTGACCTTGGGATGCATGGAGTTGTTACCACCCACAGCCTATAAGGATGGCCAGTAACTCGTCTCTGAGTGAGATTGGCCATATTAGTATAACTCAAGTGTCAGATGCCCAGATGTCCCACTGTCCTTTAAGATGTAAGTAGAATAGTTGTATCCTAACACTATGGGATACTTCTTCAGTGTCATTTCTTTTGGGGAGGGGGGGTGAGGAAGGGCTTCCTCCTCTCTGCCTCCCTGCTGCCCTGGCTTCTCCGCCTCTCCTCTGCACCACCTGTACTAACTCCAGAGCGTCATCGATGCAAGTCTGTGTAACAGATCCTCACTGAGCAGGGGACAGGTAGAGGGCTTTTGTCTCAGCACTGCATAGTCCAGGCATAGAAGAGTGGATCATACACATTCTTGTTTTAAAGACTCTCTTACCATCCTCACAGGTTTCGTCTCAAGTAAAACCCTGGCTTTAAATCTTGCTAAAATTTCAGCTCCTTTGTTTCTTCTCTTCAATTACCCCTTTCTTTCCAAAGGCCTTGGAAAGTTATAAATGTATTAGAGGAAATAACTCTGTTTTTCATTTTATTCCTATTCCAAACAGTGCATTGAAAGCTCCTATCACATCCAAAGTGGCCTATCAAGGTGTTTCCCTAATCAAGGAGCCATCTCCACAGCTCTGGGAGTCAGCATGGGAAGTTAACTGTGGCTTTAAAAGGAACTTTTTTTTCTTCCCACGGCACTAAAAAATATTACTCGTCACATTTTGTTTTAAGTAAAGTCATGTATTAGACAGCCCTGGCCCCAGGTGATCCATGACCTTGAATCTGGTGGAAAACTGCTTTCATTCTGTGTGCCCTTGACACTGAAGCCTTTTTCTTATTAAGATGCCCTTTTCCCTAAAATACCTTAAGGAGTACTAAGTTTAAATGATTAAAAGAAAATAGCCACTTTGGCATAGACTGGAAGTAAGGAGACTAAGTTCTAGTCCCAGGACCAGTTAACTAGATACTTGCACTGTGACACTGTTACCTGATGGTTACCTGTCTTTCTGGGCTGTTACCTGTCTTTCTGGGCTGGTTTCTCAGCTGACAATAATGAGGATTATGCTAGGATCACCAATGATTCCCTCTGCTCTGGTATTTTATGGAGGTAATACATTTTAAAATGAGACCAAATAATAATAACCAAGAAAAAAAAAGTCTGATGTGCTACAGCAATTCAAACCAAGTGAAGGGTATTTCAGTTGAGGGACTAGCATAGGTGGCAGGTTTAGGATTTAGAATGTAGCAAACCGCAGAATAAACAATGGCTAATGAAGTTTCTCTTTTCCTATCTTGGCAAGGTACTTCATTTCTAATTATCTGAATGAGTGAGGAAGACATATTTGAATATTTTATAACTTTTTGGTACCATTTTGAGAGAATGGACACTGAATGGAAATAAGTTTGGGAAGAGCAGTTCATTTTCTTTTCTACCAGCTCTTATGGCTAGATTCCCAGCCAGGACCACACTAGAAAGTCTTAACCTATGTACTTCCTTTTTGGTTTTTTAATTTCTGAGTTTTAAAAAGTAACTAAGAAATGACAAAACAAATATGAAAATCTTTAGAATTTAGAAATTGGTATAATTCCACCTTCTATTCGTTTAGCATTTAGTTTCCACCAAAGTGGTTTCACAAGTGTTATCTCTTGGGAAGCCCGGCCAGTGTGGCTCAGTTGGTTGGAGCATGGTGCCACAGGCCGGAGGTGTATTGATGCTGTTTGCAATGCCTGTCGGGCTGGTTTCTGAATCCCAGAGAGAATGCTGCTTTCCATGGGGAGTGGGAACACTGAGCTGGGGCATCAGGGGTGGGCTTCCTTTTGACACCTAACTGAGAAACAGGCCTTGGGTGGATTCCTTTCAGTGCAGTAAACCCTCAACTTTCTGAACCTTGATATAACAGACAGCATTTCCAGTCCGTGTGTCATATGTGAAAATTAACACCCTGTTAATTTTAAAATGCTTTCAACCAAGATTTGGTTATAATTAAATTAACAGATTATTTTTTGTTATTAATTCACTGTTATTTTTAACTAATTTTAGCGAATAGGCCATATTTTGGAAAAAACACTGTAGTAATTTCACTGACATAAGTAAATATTACATATCTACAACTATAGTCTACATATTTAAATCCAACAGTCACCACTCGCAAACAGCGTTCAGCGAGTGATTAGCACGTGATCACACCGCGTCTCTCACGCTGATAGTTTCTGTGGTCGCCTGGCCTGACTCCCTGCATCAGCTGTAACCCCGGCCCGACGTTCGCATGCGCGCTAAGCCACGCCCAGCCGAGGGCATTCGTGAGCTCGCGGTGACTGGTGAATGCCCGCGTTTACTAGACCTATTCAGTATAAATTTAAAATTACAGTAACACATATAGA